AAAAAAAAAAAAAAAAAAAAAAAAAAAAAAAAAAAAAAATCCCTGTCTGGTTTTCCGCAGGGCCTCGCTTGCTGATAAGCCCTTGCTGAGGACCAAATTAAAATGAGGGCAGCGTCTCACAGGCAGTATTTGATAAGCCTTGTTGGGAAAGCTCCCCCCTTCCCAATTCCTCAGTGCCTGGGAAAGCCGCTTTTTAAATCAYGAAAAAAAAAGAAGAAAAAAGTTTGAATCATTGCACGGAGTCACTGGCCCCGCTGAGGGGGCTTTTTCTCTCTTCTTAAGAGCAGACCATGCACAAAGCCAGATGGTTCCCGTCTGCTGGCTCCATTCAATGCACTTCCTCCCACAGACGGGAGCCCTTTTGCCCTCCTCCCACCCCCCGCTTTCAAGCAGCCACCACTGGGCCTTTCTGTTCCGCGCCTGGAAATAATCTTTTATTGCCCAGTTGTTCGGAAGTGACCTTTTGCCCTTGATTAGATAGCACCAGGCTCTATCACCGGATTGCTTTTGAGCTGGCAGTTGCTTTTTTGTGTCCGCTGATCCGGTGTCAGGGAGAACAATGCGCGGCTTTGCGAAATCCCGGGCCCGCGCGGGCCCCATGGGGGCAGGGAGGCCCGGCCTCGCCTTCCGAGCGAGCGGGAGGCAGAAAACACTTCCCTGGATAAACGGCAAAGCAAACGGCTGCGGGGAGGGGGCCCTCCATGGGGCTTTTTCAATACGTGTCCACCCCGTGTGTGGTGGGGAGTGCCTCTCCGAGGCGTCGGCTGCTCGTCCGTGGAGGTGGGCCGAGGCTTCCTGCTTCTCCGGGGTCTCCACGTGTGGGTGTGCAGGCAGGTGATCCACTGCCTTCCAAGGCACCGAGGCTCCCGARCCTGCCGGCTGCCCTTCGGCCTCCAAACCACCCGTGTGGTGAGGTGCCTGTTCCCTGGGGACGGTGCCTCTCCATCCCCCAAAACTAAGTTTGGATGCAGCAGGTAGAGGCTTTCTGCTTACCTATACATTGGAAAGGGTCTATGCGGGAGGAAATTCTGTAGAATGCAGTAAGAGGAAAATGAGGCTTTCTGCACAAATTGTTAAAGGGCCTCTAGAGTTGGTTACATATTGCCCTTGACACATGGATCACGTGCTCTAATGTTATTTTTCTRTTAAACATGAAATGGGTGGCGTCTATTTGAAGGGCTAAAAGGCCTTCTCTCATGAAGAAATAGATAAACTGGCATCGGGTTTAAGCTTAAAAACCCACCCCCACAAACAAACCCCATCTTCCTTCCTTCCTGCCACCCCGCAGTGCTCTCTGAGCTGACCTAGAGATAGCAGGAGAAAGGCTGTCATTCTGCAGGTCACTCCGTGATCCCAAAGCTATAACTGAGCCTTTTTGTGAGTTACAGTTTCAACATGTGTTCAGGAAGGCTTAGTCCCAAGCAGTTTAGCACAGTATGAAAAAAAAAAGAATAATAATAATAAAAAAGCGTACATCTGGCTTCCAGTCCTGTAGAAGTTAAAGGGAAGATCACCTTTTTGTGCTTTTTAAGGAATGCCGATGGAATTTTTCCTATTGGGTTGTCACTCGGTATACAGTTTTGTAGGAGTTTTTTCCAGCGGAACACTTGCTGATTTCAGTGACCTCCTTGTTTACCRGTGTGTGCTCTTTATACACTGAATTATCTTTTATACATATACTAGTTCTTGAGCCGGTAACAGTTCGAGCTAGCTCTTGGGCAAATACACTTGCAACCTGCTTCTACCAGAATTTTGCTACTCAAAATGCCCGTTAACCGTACACTTTACCCCCAAAACAAGCATATTAATGTTGCTGTTGTGGGTTGCTAAGACAAGTGAGTRGAAGTGAAGCAAGTGAATACTGAGATGAACAGCATCGCAGGGAAATTTGGCAAGCCAATAGCTCTTCTGCCTTCAGAACAGGACTAGTGTTGTATAGTATGCCTTAAAACCTCTGATGGAATATGAAGCAAGTCAAGGAACTTCCCATTAAGTGTATATAATATGAGGCTGAGATAATGAAGCAACAATGTCTGCCTGATCATATAATGCAAGATTTACTATGTGCTGTGTGGTGCATATGGCTTGGTTCAATAAACCTAGTGCCATGTCAGTGTTGCTGTTTCTGATCTTTGGGGTGTTTTTCTTTGTGCACCCTCATTCTGTAGTACTTTATGAGTAGCTACTTAAGTAATGCAAGCTAGTATAAATATGAAGGTATTCAGTCCTACATCTCCATGTAAAAAAGCCACCTATGCCTTGTCATAGTCTTTCAAATATACCCATAAAAACGTGATTTTTTTTTTTTGTGGGGGTAATTGTAGCCTTAGGTTCTGAAATCTTCTGCTTAGATAAAGTCACCTATTCATAAGTATAATCACTTAGAATTAATAAAACACTGCTGTTAAAATGAAGCAGGTCTGAAGATGACAAATTTACTGCAAAATGTGGGGTCAGATTAGCAGGGGTGGGAGGGGGGCTCAAGGCTGCATCTTCTGAATCTCCGTGAGATCTGGGCTTCCTTTGTGTGTTGGGACCATATTAGTGACTTGG